GAGCAAGGACGCTACTAGGGACTCCTGGCCGTACTACTAGGAGCAAGAAGCTACTAGAAACATTTATCTGCTGTGTACATGTGTCCTCGGGATCGGAGTACAAAGAACCTTAGCGCGGACCCAGGTTGCCGTGGCCTTGACCCACACCGGCATTTCGTGGAACTCCACGTTGTCCCATTTGCTTGCTGAGTGATCTCAGGATGCAGTTCGGCAGCTATAGGAGGGTGCAGCATAGAGCGCAACAGACCTGCAAATTCAAACCTACTTAAGTGGCCAGGGCAACTAGGACCTTATGATGGTTTTGTAGTTTCTGAGTGTGCATCCAGGGTACGGGATGTTTGGCAAGGAGCCTGTAGTAGATCTCATGTTGAAGCTGTCATCCTTGCCTAAGCTGTCGGCGTTTACCTATGGGATGAGCGTATAAAAAACCTGCGCAGCATAATGTAATCTGCAATTACAACATGTAATCTGGCATGTAATCGGTACAAACAGCCAAAACGCTAGACTTGTCACAGCCGCTATCCCTGGACCTAGACGGTAGCGTGTCTTTCAGTACCAATACCTTTCACTCTCGTAGCATCTCCTTCAGCCCAAGGGCCCAAAGATGGTGCACTTAAGCTGGTTTCGAGGCTCTTCGGCTGTGGCTTGTGCACCGGCATGGCCACGCCTGCAACTGAATCTGCTGAATCTCTGTGCACAGCAAACATCACAGCACCACACAGCCTCGCTTTTTGAAATCTGTTGTGGCTATACCTTGTTGCTACCACATTGAGCCAAACAGCTGTCGGCGAGTTCTTGAGCTCTTTCTTGATGCTCATGCATGGCATACATTGCACTATGCAGCACATTCCACAATGGTTCAAAGCTCCTGTTTCACTCCTTGCGCCTGAAAACACTTCTGCTCGGCGAGGGTGCAGAACAGAAAAGTGCTTCACTTGTTTCAGTGAAGCGGTAGGGGAGAACGTGAATGTCAATGAGCCGTTGAGGCGGACAGTTTGTCATGCTTCATGAAACATGTAGCCTCGCACAACCACAAAGACTTCATAAAATCGGAGCCTTCCCTCCGGGAGAGGCAACAACCGAATCGATTTCATCGATCCTTCTATCCTAATGTGCGCACTGCTCAATCAGCGCCTGAGAACTGTTCATACTGCCTCAATCGTCTCCGGAATCTTCGGGTCTTGCTGACGGTGAGGATGCCAGAGCCCGGACTCTGCCAGAAGGCCGGAGATAGCACGGAAATGCCCAGCAACAACGCTAGGAGCAAGGTGCCCAAGTCAGCCACCACCACGATCCATAATTTGATATCCATGGCCATGGCCTCAGCGTTTGCATGTTGGCAACGATGGAATGATAGACATAATATTATATTGCTATTATATATTTTATAAATATATAGATGGCAAGAAGCAATCAGTGCAGACACAGAAACTGGTAGAAACTACCATGATAGGTAGCACCATCCCGAAAAACAGCAATTGCATACAACCCACTATGCAACCCCAATCAACCACACAACAAAAGCAATTAGCCCAGCTGGAGACCCCAATAGCAAGATGCAAACCGGGACAAAAAGAAAATCTGGAAACAGCTGCTGTTTTCAACACATCGACCATCTCTTCCTTGGACACCATCATCACATAACCGGGACACCATCACAAAATGACCAGGGCACCATCAAAACATGACCGAGACACCGACACAACATGACTGGGACACAATCAAAGCATGATCGGGACACCATCACAACATGACCGCGTCACCATCACATGATCGGGACACCATCAAAACATGACCGGGACACCGTCGCAACACGACCGGGACACCATCAAAACATGACTGGGACACCATCACAACATGACCGGGACACCATCACATGACCGGGACACCATCAAAACAGGACCGGGACACCATCACAACATGACTGGGTCACAATCAAAACATGATCGGGACACCATCAAAACATGACCGGGACACCGTCACAACACGACCGGGACACCATCAAAACATGACCGGGACACCATCACAACATGACCG